ATCTGAAGTTGCTGACCCTCCATGATTTCGCCGTCGTCGATGCCGGTGACGACACCGGCGAAAATCTGCAGTGCATCTGGTGCGGCACGTTCATCGACTCGCAGTGTCTTGCTCAACATTTCGGTGATATGCACTCGGACAACGTCGAAATTCCCAAGTGTAACCTCTGCTTACAGGAACTCATATTGAATGCGAGGTTTCAGGTAATATTAAGTTCATATATTACAGTTATATGAACATAACATTATTTCAAGTTATGTAATGTATTTTGCAAAGGTTGATTTTCGAAACACTATTTTTTATTTATGTTATTTTCCCAACGTTTTATTTGTGTTAGTTTCCCTTTCAGCACAATCAGTCAGAGACAATGAATTTTTTAGTATTTACAGGCCTTCTCACGTTGATATAGACTTTGTTCTTAACCTTTACATAAGCAATACGTAGAAAAAAGTTTTGCATAAAATTATTATTGCCCCTAATGGACAGAAAAAAATGTGTTATGGCAAATTGAATTTAATAATTACGATTATCAAGACTAGTAGATCGCTGAAATGTATAATGGTTGAAAACAAAAGGGAGTCGCAGAGCTCACCATTGAGTGTATATTCACTGTTCCTTGGAAAATTGGCATCATTGTAACAACAGTCTCTTGTCACTGGTTGAACGACATCGTGATAAAACGATGGTGTTAATCAGTGAGTCGCTAATCATATCACCGCTTAATAAAACGAAACCTGCATCATCGGGTGCAGTAACGCCTTCGACATTTTCAGGCTTTGGGAATTAATTAAACACTTGGTAATTGAATAGCGAGCAACACTTGAGTAAACAGTATGTCTGCCAGAAAATCTTTCACGTTGAAAGAAGTCGTAGTTTTAAGACATAGTTCATAAATAGTTTATTGAAATAAATTAATTGCAGATAAATTCGCAGCAAAAAGAGTAGGCAAAAACGAACCTTAAAGATTCGTGGGCTCTTGGCATCACTGCTCCACCGTGATGATCTGATAGAATGCGTTTGCTCATTATGTTTATAATGTCTGCTCTGCATACCGAAGTAAAACTGTATTTGAACGTCAGTCACAGGTTCTTTTTTCAACATATGAAGTCCGAACCATGAACTCAGGACAGGAAATCTTCTTCATTCAAATGGGGGAGGGGGAAAACAGCTTGCTTCTCGTACGGGTGGTTCGCCCCCACGAGAAACAGTGTCGTTGTAGATCTTGACCTGTTTAGACAGTCACGCAGCATTCAGTTCGTTATTTAGATAACTGAAAACTATCTCTATTTACGAACTCTAATTTAAAAGCAGTAATTTTTTTCCCTTGAAGCTGCCCTGAATAAATCATGTGCATTTTTGACAATAGTAGTCGATCAAGTCGGACATCAACTGATTTAACAATTATATATTATATTTTTCATTCCCTGAAGATGAACGATGCCTGTACTGTAGAAAACTAGAATTTGAAGGTTTGCTTGTCTCCTAGGTTTCTAAATATGTTTATCAGCCTCATATAGAAGAATGGTATTATATCGAAACATAAGGAGGCCTCGTTAGTCGACTTTCTCAGAAGGAATCCCTACCATTAACTACTATCCCGTAGTCTAGTCGTTGCCAACTGTTCATGAGATTGCCAAGACAATGCAGACCTGGTAAATGTATGAGCCAGTAGTGTTACGTTGTTTTAGATGAACTGTACTTTGCTGTACATTTAACGTGAGATTCTGTGTCATGGCTATTGAAGTAGCTAAGCCGACGAGTTAACGGTTGCGATTTCTTAGGAGAAGTATGCTGTCGATTTCGCCATCACGCTGCCTGATGAGCATCACATCGAATGCGGCCTTTGCGGATCTTCGTTCAGTACCGATGCGGCGATCGAGGCTCACATACGACGGCGTCATATCAGCGGTATATCGCCCGACAGTGATCTGAACTACTTCTCAGAGGCGGAGGAGGTGGACAGCTACGACGAAGTAGGACCAGAAGCTTTTGCCAACAGTCGCATGATTCTTGGCAAGCGGAGGCGGCCCAAACGGCAGTTTATTATGCCAATCATGCGACAGGTTAGTAGTGCTTTATCATTATTGATTATTTCCATATGGCAAAAGCGAAGTCTGTTCATGACAAACCCCTTTATAACGAACGTCGGACTTTACTGACGATGTACTTTGATAGCCCGCTATGCAGTGCATTATGTAACAGAGTGCATAGATAATATCCAGATTTATGTTCTGTTGAAACAGCACAGAAACCTTTATTGCCATACACGGTTTATGTGATAGAATAGTATACAAACGGCAGTATTCCTGTATCCCAAACTGCCCTGAAAGAAGAATGAAAATATATTTAAAACTTTTCTCGCTTGGAAACCGTGGAGGCACTTCATTGAGGCAGATTTGTCGCATCGATAAACGTATGGTAATATTAACCTGAAGTACCATTTCTAACGGTCAGACATTATTCTCTGGTTTAAGTTCTATTATTCTCCGATGACGATGGCAAAGCAGTAGCAAAAACTTTCACCCTTTATACCACTCGCTTTGTGTTAAATAATAATAAATTGTTTATGCTGTTTTTTCCAGTGTGTCTACCAACAAACTAAAAAGAATACTCAGCAATATTGTTTAATTACGAAGACACGGTCTGTGAGTTTTCGTATTCAGGCCCCAGGGCGTTGCGAGTCATTAAGATTAAGCAAACCTTTTCACTACCATAGAAAGAGAAACAAAAATTATATTCACTAATCAGTTATTAGGTCTGTCCTCTTTGTGGGAGTGCCATGAAAGCAAGTCTATGCTCCTATGACATTCTCCTATGACCACCTCAAACCAAGTAATTTGACCCATCTGGCATCGCAGCGTGTTTCTGGACGACCGAATGGATGTTTGATGCTTCAGCAGAACTCAGTTTGTAATTTTGCATGCCCACCGGTTGTCTCCGGCGAGTCACATGACCAGCCGATCTTCTCTTAACGTCGTTGAAGATAGAAATTACATATGTTAATCCAGTCCATAGTCAGATTTATGCCTTCGAGACAGATCATTCAATTTTCGCTCCATCCCTCGTTCGATTGCCACCAATTTGTTGTGTGGACATTTGAATAGAGCAGTTTTTTCTTCTCCATGCGCAGTTCACCGTCGAGTGATAATGTTTTAGTACAGTTAAAGTTGGCCAATGTTGCCTTATTTTCTTCTGCTGATTTCTCTGTCTAGTGAGTTCATTCAGTACACCTGACAGTCGACATACACTTAGCTTCTGACTTCGCTATTCGGGCAGACACAGCCTTCGTCGTCGTGCTCGATGTGAATCCATTTGGTCTTGAAAGTGTTTTTAAAATGTTCAAACGCTGAGAGCGTTTTAATAAACAGCACAGTATAACAGTTTGTTGCATGATAAATCAGTATCACCGTTTCGATTCAAAAGAATCATATATTCTATGATAAAGGAAATAAGTTGACGTTAACTGATTCTTTTATAGGCTGCCCCCCTGAACTCGCAGTACGTGGAACCGATAGCGGAAAGTCACTGGAAGTGTAAGCTGTGCGATGGCGACATCTTTGGAGCTGTAATTAGTGCTGCTGCTATCAAGCATTATAAATTGAAGTAACGATGTTTTAATATTCGTTTTTAATTCTGTTTTTTCATGTGTCAACGATTTATGCTTTATTGTTTTTTTCAGCTTCAGTTTAAGGCTCTAATTTGGTTTTGAACAAGAAATCAAGTAATAAGCTTCGTTTTATTTCTCTCTTTGAAAAACCGTTTGAAGTCATTGCCCAGTGTTCAGCAATTACCGTAATTATCATAAGTCCGTTTGACCTGTGAAATGCTTTGATGCAACATCTGCTCATGGTTTAGTTTTCTTTGGTATACATTGCTTATAACTAGTACCGTTCGACAGTTTCATCCATTGCATATATTACGTTGGCAAGAACTGCCTTATCATAATTATCATAATCGTAAGAATGTTGATGACTGGTTCGTGGTCAGGATTTTTTTTTGCTGTACTTAATGTTGAAACGTTTAGTCACCTGCTGCAACTTGACCATCTTCAGTACGAGCTTTGCTGCGCGCGTTTGGACCGCGTCAGCGACGGCTGCATGGAGTTCTTGCACCCGCGACTGATTGAGTGTCTGCTATGTGAGCAGACGTTTAGTTTACACCAAGCATTCAACATGTGCCGCGCGATTCGACATCTCAAAGCGAAGCACCCGAATCTGATGCCAGAATACGCTGGTCTGCAGCGGGAGGACAGCGGTGGTGCTGCCTACGGCCAGGACGACCCTTACTACACTGGTTAGCATGCATTTGATAGAACGTCGTACGGTATTACGTCTGTTGCTGTAATAGTTTCTGTCGCATGAGTTTTCTGACTGGATAGGAAAGCCACAGTCGTATCGCTTTAGAACGAAATACTATCTTTGGCCACTGGTATCGCACTGCAAATCAAACAGGGTACCAGGATCAGAATAATACAACATCTTTTATGAACTTCGAATCCTAGACTGGTTCTAATCCTGACCATTACGAAAATTGTAATGACACTTTTTCCTGTCGTTATGTTTATTTAAAACGGCAGTATGCCTTAAAATGGACATTTGTTTATCCAGTATTTAAGATTTTATTTTAACAGACGCTTTTTCCGAAATTCAGTTTTTCATCTCACTAATACTTAATTATCTTATAGCACTTTATTTAAATTCCAGTCACATCATGAAATATAACATGGGTTGTATGAATATCACTTAAGTGTGAGCCCTGTACCAAGAGTTAGGAAGCTGCAGTACCCTTCTTAAAACTGTGCCTGTTGTCGGGTGGATCGCCTTCTTTCAGGTCATCAACTTGATCGCTTCATAGGTTGACTTTAGTGGCTGGTGCTGATTCCCTCTTTTCACAGTACCATGAATTATTTACGTCTGTGATCTCCAGATTTTGTATATCACCCTGCATTTTTGATTTTTCTGTACCTTTTCTTTCCACTTAACAACCGCTTGCCGTTGGTTTCAATATTAATACTGTTTATACAAAATTTATGATATCACTGTTTATTTTAGAACAATATGCCGACCCTGGACAGGTGTATTTCACTGGAATTCCTCGTGACGCCAGTATCCTCAATGACATGGACGGGATCATCGACGGAATGGACATTGAAGAACCCTCTGACGGCTGTCAGACGATTAACTTTGATCCCAATCAACTAGCTATCAAAGGGGTGCCCTTTCATTCCGTGAATCACATGGCGTCATCAGTGGAAAATCCGGACACCCCGTCGGTGTTCTACCTGATGTCTGAAGAACAAGCGAAGGCAGGCGGATATATTTCAGAAGACACGTTGCTATTGACGCCAGACATTCAGCTTCCCGGTGCTAGTCAGATTCATATTCTTGGAAACTAACCTTTCGCCGTTGATGTTTTCAGTCATTATCTTTGTGCTGCGATGCTAGGAAATTTTGTAGTTCAATAAAGTTTTTTTAGCGAAAGCCAAAATGCAAACATGCTGCTTGACAGTAATATTAATTTCTCTAGCAATTATGAAAATTGTTTTCATGGAGACAGTTGCCCAGTGACAGGCGTAAGCCACCATATTCAGGTTTTTATTCTTACTTGAGGCGTGAATCTTGCTTTTTAACTGTTGATTCATTTCATCGTTTAATCTGCTCTGGTGCTGCAGAAAAGAAAAGCGGGTAGTGATGTGCCGATGAGGTGGTCATCATCTGAATGAAGGTCTCGAAGATTTTGCCATCTGTTTTATCTATCTTGATCCAGCGAATTTATTCTGATCATCCTGCCATCGATTTGGAGCTGTTTTTACGGACCGTTAACTCTTTCTTGTAACCCAGTCAAACGTCTCTGGTTCTGATATGGTCGGATTTTGTAATGTGTTCAACTCATTGGGATTTATCCTTTTTTACTCGTCATCAGTGATACCACAGACTCTTCTAGTGCTCTTATCTATTCATCCCTCTTACTATCTTTTTCCTTATTCCAAACAATTGTTTCCATGTTGCATTCGTGTGCAGTTTATGAAAACTTTCAAGCTTATGATATATGCTGCTTATTCGTTTCACAGTTGAGGTGTTGCTCTATGTTATTTAGTGTGGCAAGGCCAAAGTTATTAAAGCTAGTGG